GTGGAAATGATTTAATTGTTTTTTGTTTTCGAAATCGGGTTATTCTTCTAAAAGTTTAATTGTTACTTCGGAATAACAAATAACCAAACAAATAACGGAGAAGTAGAATAGAGGGAATAGTAGAAGTTAGTAGGTACTCGACAGACTATTCACTTATCTACTTAAAGTAAGCTCCCAAAATTTGAAGAGAATGTAAAAACTTTACGTAAGATAAATTTTTTTTTTAGATTTTATGTGGCAGTTTGTTTTTGTAAAAACTTTACGTGGTAGAGCCATGCTGCAGCTATATTGTGGTTGCAGCACGAATGGGTCGGCTCAACCGGGGTAGGACCACGCTCTCACAGAATACCAGTGATTCTTAATTGAGAATAAATGTAGATGTCTATGGGTCACAGTATCCACTTACCATCAGGTGGACTGTGTGCTCGTTTGCCAACCTTATTCTATAAAAAAAAACCAGTTTTTTTAGAATCATGTAAAGATTTGGAGTTTCGGTAAATTTATGCGACCTATATAAAAAAGTTTACAAAGGGCGAACTTAATGCCTGATATCATATGTCAGATGTATTCAGGGAATGATCTTTAGGTAATAACAACTATTTACTGAATACATGTACCTACTGAAGTATAAATTTATAATTCTAAAATTATATGTAAATAAAAAAACAGTAATATATATATTTTAAGTCTTAGAGCAAGAAAATTTTAAGAATATATTTATATATATATATATATATATATATATATATATATATATATATATATATATATATATATATATAGGGTTATTTTGAAATAACCGGCCAAATTAGCAGAGGTTCAGAATAAGTAATATAGGCAAATAGTGAAGAAAAATTAATAAAAAAATAATCTCAAACATTCTATCCTTTTTATTTTTTAAATTCTTTGGTAATGCATTATTTTAACTGATTTTACTGCGTGCGCATGCACTCATTTATAAGGGTCGATTGGCAGGAAAAAACTTTGTTTCCCATAAAACACATTCAGTTTGGGATACTTTCGAATAAAAGTAGAAGCTTATTTATTCGTATTTTCAAAAAGTGCAATAACGGTGTATTATTATTCATATATTTGAACTTAAGTTTAAAATTTGGCTACTCCATGAAAAGTAACCCTGTATACATAAGTCATAAATATGATCATCTATCATTAATATGTATGTGGTAGTGTATATATGTATGTTTAGATATTTTTTCGCATTTTAAATATCATTGTATAGTATATCAAAGGATACTGTTTATTTTTTTTTGTAAAATATTCTTTAGCATCCAGGGAAGATGAGTGTCGAAGTGCTCTGTCAGTAACAAGTCTGTGCTGAATTGGGTACCTTATTAAGTAAACGTCTACCAAATTTAAAATATGCTATTGTTATATTGTGTTCCTAAATAAAACTAATATCATTCCTCTTTTTTTCTTTCAATTCATCTGAGGGTAAGCTACCGCAGCCCACGTAGGATACAGCAAACTTTAAATTAATAAGAGCTTATTAACCTAGACGGAGGGCTAAAATGGCATTTCTTAAGCCACATTGCACTCTTCAAGCTACTACACAGCAGTTGAAATTGATTAGAAAATGGTGATACCTACATCCATGAACTTTTAGTCAGAAAAGGAGTCCTAACACTTAGCACCTAGCCTTCTATATATTTTTTTATAGGATTGTGTGACAAACGAGCACACAATCCACCTGATGGTAAGTGGTTGCTGTTGCCCATAGACATCTACATTTTTCCTCGTTTGCGAATCAAAATGCAGATGCGTTGTCACCCGTGAGGACTAAGATGGAATGCCCCTTTTCCAGTAAAAAGGTTCTCCGGTTCTCTACACTTACCATACGAAACACAGTAGTGTTAAGTTGCTATTTTACGCTGGTATTCTGTGAGAGCGTGGTTCTTCCCCGGTCGAGCTGACCCATTCGTGCTAAACTATACCACGTATAAAATATATGCACTTATCACACTATTTTGTCTAATGGTTCTAGAAATGGTTATAAAATCGTCGTAGGAGTCTCCATTGCTTTCGGATATGCAAGGGGGGACAACCGAGTGATAAGTTCAGTAATGAATAACCAAATACATTCAGTGCATCATGGAGAATCTGCTAGTCTTAAATCGAAAATTCCTGCTTACGTGCGGTACATCATGATTATTATTGTTTTGATGTAAGCCGCAAAATGTTACTAGCAATTTTTAACGCTGTTTGACAGCTCTATACTGTGCATACTCTATACCGTACATCTACACAAACTGATTGAACTGACCAATAAGATTATTAAAAATTTCAATTAGAAATATTAAAGATCATATTCATGTACTCTTACAGGCAGTAATAATAATTAAGAGAATTTTTTTCATGCTGCAACGTGTTTCCGTGAAATTGGCAAGTTTCTTTGTTATCAACTAACGACTAGACTAACTAGAAAAAAGGTGATTTTAAACGAATTATTGAAGTGAAAACTTCTTTAGGTACATAATATGTACATGCACACAATCATTCTTTTTCATGTAAAACAGCGCAATAAATGAAAATTTTATTACTATATTAATACGATGATAAAAAATAATAAATTCTAATAAAAATACATACTATAAATATTAAAAAAAATTTTTTTTACAACCCAAAATTATTTCTTACAAGTTTGTGAAGCTAAGAAATTACTTCTGATGTGCACACTTCGACTGACAGTTTTTGATGTGTAACGTCTTTCCTCTTGCATTCCCACACCTGTGGGATTGATCGCTGAAAAGTGACGGAAGTATGTAACAGGAAACCGGCGAAGGGCGCGCTATTTGATTTGACCAATGCGCGCGCGGTGGTAATAAAATGTGCTGTTAAATAAACTAATTTATATGAATAAACAATATTAATAAATGTATTTACTGCTGATAATAAGTGTCGAAAAAGTGCAAATCATTGATAAAAATGCTAATGAGTAATAACGAATAATTATTATTTAGCTTTTATATATTTAGAGGTTAATTTCTGTGGCTACTAAATTGATATTTTTAATTTTGATTAAAATATATTTTTCGGAATATAATGTTAATATTTTATAGTACCAAAGTGAAATGTCAGATATTACGCATCATATGCGGCTACTATAAAGCTCGCTCGTTTTTTAAGGGTAAAGTATTTGTAAAATGTTTTAAACGGTTCCTAATATTGATCTAGATCAGTTACTAAATCGTTTAACAAAACAGATCGAATAAACAGTTCAAATAGATTACTTTGACATTTAACGTTTGAAGTTTAAAGTGCCATTGTGTGACAATAGCTTGCTTCTATTTGTTTGTAACATTACATAAACTGCTGTTGCTTGTGGTCGATTTACCATTTGTGTGGAAACAACGTATATTTGTTTACATAATGCATTTTGTAATATTTTCCCGTGCAGGGAAGACAAAGCGATCTTAGCTCATATCGCCATGAACGTGACCAAACGCTTTTACTTAATTGCTTAAAACATTTTCTTTTTATGCACATCTACGACACAAGAATTTGATGAACATTCAAATTATATAAGTTTTGGGAAAAACTTTATATGTTTGAAACACTGCACTGTTTAGATAAAATTTCTTTAAAAAAAAAACGATTAATTACTAGTAAAAATAATAATGTTCCAATTTTAAATTACCTCCCGTATTATATAAGACATAAATTGAAGTATCGTGTTTCATTATAAAATGGATTAGTGTCGGAAAATTTTCGCGCGATGATTTTTTTGCGATTTCAAATGTCGTCCAAAACCGGATTAATTGATTGATAGACTTAAACCGGTAGTTACAGAAGGAAAAGTACCAGCAGGAAAAAAATTAATTGAAGATAATAGGCCAATTTTGTATGAAGAGATTAAGCACACAAGACACAAAATTTTACACGAAAACACAAGATTTTACACGAGCACCCTTGCTTGAGGAGAATAGACGGCGTTGGGTGCCGCACATTCTCACCGATGCTCAGAAGCAGGCTGGTGGTTTTGTGGTACTTCAATGAAAATTTGAAATGATCACAGGATGAATCTTGGATTTTCAAGGCCATCTCGAAACAAAGTGCCTGTTGATTGTTTAGCTGTTTCAGAATGGACCAACGCTTACCTAAGTAAAGTGGTCGATAACCGCAGGGAATATTTCGATCGTTACTATTGTCACTTTGCCGGGATATCCGGTGTCAATTCCTTCACAAAATTGAAGATAAATAATACTACCAAATGATTGCCAGAAGTGTTCACTGGTGTGATCAACAAGAGGACTAACATGGGCCTCCTCATGCTAGTCCTTCACCATGACAACACGTCATGGTGAAAGAGTAGCGCACTCAGCCCTTAATTGTCACTGCGTGCCTTCAATTTATTCCCTTAAATATAGAATATGTAATTATAACTTTAAAAAAAAGTAAAAACTGACTGCAATAAGCTAGAATTTTTCTCAAAATTTATATGGAATCACCCTTAAAGTATAATCTATTTAATAAAAAAATAATTATCAAATTTGGTTCACAATCTGCTAAGATTTCGCGTAACATACATACAAAAAAAATATACAGTTGAATTGAGAACCTCCTCCTTTTTGAAGTCAGTTAAAAAACGGATACAATTTTCATCGCCAGAAGATGGGCTTGTAGCTTTTGCAGGAAAACGTGTTTCGAAAATTGGTTTAGACGCATGAACTTACTGAGTGGCCCACGTATGTACATATATTTTTGATGTTTACACGTAAGTGTTAATATTATCGCTGACTCCCACTTTTCTTTAACTATAAAATAACTACTCAGGATTATTTTGTCACATAAGTTTAATTCGAGATTAGTTTTTTTTTAGTAAATACGTCCAATTAATTTTTTTATTAAAAAGTGTGATTTCTTTATGTTTTCTGATTGATAATTAAAAAAATATATAAGCAACGTATAAATAGTGAATTTTGCTACAATTACAAGACATTTCGAGTCCATCGTTTAGTTATAAAAATATGCAAGAACTTTACCTGTACTTCACATCCATGGCTTCAAAGTTGTAAACTGAAGAATACACACCAGACAAGAAAACAGGGAACAAGATCAACATGTAATTGTAAATGTTGAATTTACCGAACGGTCCCAATATTTCTAATATATCATCCACACTCACTTCCGCGTCTTTCTTTTCCACGTCCATTTTGTTTATATATTTGTTTCAGCACAACACTTTTACGATTTAATTATTGTATTATTATTTTATATTGTCGTGGTTTAACGCGAGGCGACCGCGAGATCGGTCACCGGACCGATAGTGCGTGAGCGCCGCTTGCTTTATAGTTTTTATTGTTGATGTAAAAATCATTGCCTTCGAGTTACCGAGCCAAAGGCATAGTTTTTCATGCCACAGTGTAAGAAGTGCATCAATAGTTCTAACGTTTTCATTATCAAGGAGAAATATTGCACGCTGTTTTAGTTTGCGCTAATGCATTCGTTTTTTTTCAGTGATTATCTCTAATGAGTTTATGCTTTTTTCATTTTAATTGTAATTCTGAGCTAAATTACTATTGTTGATTTCTGAGGAGAAACGGGTAATAAATTATATTAAAACAATTTTAGAGCCCTGGTTGCTTACCTAAATGCTCGCTGAAAACTTCACAATACGCGAGCAACCCGGGTTTGATCCCCGCCGGCACCCATGAAATAGTGTTGCAATTTTAAGCCGTAATATATTACGTATTTGGCGGTGACAGAAAACTTCGTGAGGAAACCGGCATGTCTAAGAAAAATAACCAAGAGATTTCGTGAAGTCCGCTAACATGTATGTATATAGGGCAGCGTGGCGGACACAACATTGCCCTAAAATCCTCTCAGAACTGAGAGGCGACCTATGCACAGGAGTGGGACGTATTTAAGTTGCAACTTACTTTAACTTAGCAATAAAATCAATAACATTTTTGTTTTTTTTTTCTCATTTTTAGTTTTGGAAGTTGTCTGATGTATTATCACAGTATCAAGACAAGGGTTTCAGTTAGAGTTGCCCCCTTTTTTTATAAATATAGTACTTTTACTTTTTTGGAGTATATCATATGGCCTAAATGTCAATCCTACAAAGTTACAGGCTATCATTATTGTTTGCTCGAGCTTTATCTCAAGAATTGACTGGTTCTCCGTACCACTTATCGTATTTGATGGAGTTGTAATCCCTTACTTTGACAATGTCAAAAAATCTTGGTATTTATATTGATAATTCCTTAAATTGGATACGCCAACTGAATGAGGTAAGCAAGAAAACCTTCGTCACTCTTTGTTCACTGCGTCGCCTTCGATCATTTCTTCCCATTCCTACAAAAATTATGCTCGCACAGTCTCTTCTCCTTCACACACATAAATGAGGACCAGCTAAATAAGTTTGAGAGACTTCAAAATAAAAGTATTCGGTTCATATTTGGATTGCGCAAATTTGACCATATTTCCCAATTCCGCTCACGTCTCAAGTGTGACCTATGTGACTTCGCCGGAACATGCATATTTTTTCTATTCTGTACTGTGTATTATTTCACCCTTCTACTCCTCCCTATCTAAAGGAGAAGTTTCATTTTGTAGGGCTTCGGGGGGAACCTTTACGCTCTTCAAGAAAATTCGTTTTAAGTGTATAAACTCACAATACATAATTTTTAATAAATCTTTTACTGTCCAGTCTATGAAGCTCTGGAATGCCCTACGTTTACGTGAAGCACAAACTATTGTTATCTTTAAGCGACTGCTTAAAGAGCATTACATGTCTCAACCGTTCGGACACCGTTAGGATAAATTATGTGATTATGTATTTATTGTATTTATCAGCTTTATATTATTGCTTGAGGAATTTTGTTATTTATATATGTATTTATGGGTAGATAAATAAATTTGTTTATATATTTATATACATGTATGTGTATGTACATATTATATGATTTACTTTATCTTTTATTATGTATTAGTAATTTATATTATTTCATGTATTAGTTATTTATATGTTATTGTATTGCATTTATTGTCTATATGTCGCATGTATTAATATTATATTTTGTATATTTATATTGCACCACTTATCTAACTTTGGTTGCCTGGATGAGATCGCTATGTAGCGGTAAGGCTGCCAAATTGTACATGTAATCTGCTTTTTGTTATGTCATTTGTAAATTTGTTTGTGGTGCACAATGAAGTATATTCATTCATTCATACTTTTCCCAAAAAAAGGTATGCAAAAATATCGTGATTATAGGGAATTCAGGACAAAAAGTACACATTTATTTTTAATCTTTAAGTATATTTCCATTGCTCCATATTTGTTATCGCTCTTCGCTCAGATTTTTATAATTATTTCAAAGGTATCAGATCATTGACGGCCAGAGCAATTTAGATTACTCTATTTCTTTCTTCTTTCCAGTTTACATTCACGACGGAATTATTTTTTCCGTTAAACATACTTGTTCCAGACTTCCTGTCACAATTAATATAAAAAAGCGCGACAGTTGAATTAGGGATAAAATATAGTATTTTACGTACTATATTACTTTTCTGTAATATATAGTACGATTGACGGAAATATAGTACGATACTATATATTATAAAAACAACAGTAGCAACCCTAGTTTCAGTGGAGAGATATCGAGACTTGCTTGACAAATACTTATGTATAGTGTTCGACAAACACAAGCTTATGTACAGTGTCTTGAGTCCTCTCAAATATATGCCAAATATTTACCGCTACACCACATATTTATTCTGCCAAGAAATATCAGTGCCTGTATTGTTTTTTTTTTACAATTCTAAACCAGCGCTTAAATGCAACAACAACAGCTGATAGTAAGTGGTGATGTAGCCTAATATGGTGAAGCGCTCTGATTTAACAAAAGCCTATTCACTCTTGCCTTAAAGCTTGCTCTTGACACATTGTAAGAGGATGGAAAGACAGATGCTGGCAAATTGTTGCACACCTTGCTATACGCATGACGAACGGTGTAGCAAACCGTTTGGTTCGAATGTGTGATAAGTCAACAACGAAATGGTGGAGACTGGCCGAACGTCTGGTTGTCCGATGGTGGAAGGGAGAGGGAGGAATCAAGTTATGCAATTCCTGCGTACACTCTCCGAAATATTGTGTCCCGGTCTGAAGTATAAAGAGAGGTAGAACAAAAACAGGCTGCGAGCCATTCCATCTTATTCGTGACGCACAACGCTACCCAATGAGTGTTAGTGAACTTTACGTATCTTCGATTTTTTTTTATTTCTTAGACATGCAAGCTTGCTCACGATATTTTGTTTCACCGTCAAGTACAAGCATCATTAGCAATTAAAATTAAAATTAACAATTTAATTGAGACCGGCGGGGATCGAACCCGGGTTGCTCGCGAACAGGAAGCGCATAGCCCCTGGGCTACCACATTGTTATTAAATTGTAAAATAAAAATCTTTTAAATAAACTTAAAAAGTTTTCTTTAAATAAATTCAAAACATTGTTATGTCTCATCAAACACAACATCCAATTACAATATATTCAATTCGCGCTGTTCAATTTGATATAATAAAACATTTTACGGCGAAATAATATTTGTAGTGGAAACAACGTTCGCTTTAAAGAGATTTATTTAACAACCATTCATTATCGTACATTTCTGAAATACGTGAATGCAATTTATACGATTATGAACGATGATATGATTAAGGTAATGAAGTAATGCACACGAAGAATGTGTAAAGAATTCGTCAATATATAGCAATGCAGTGATTTTCAAAATACGTTCATTATATATATATATATATATATATATATATATATATATATATACAGCCTAACCAGATGAGAATACTATATTACCCCATATTAATATAAATATATATATATATATATATATATATATATATATATATATATATATATATATTTTAATATTAATATGGGGTAATATAGTATTCTCATCGGGTTAGGCTGTATAAATATATAAAAGAAAATGGGGTATACATTAAATATAGTAAATTAAATAAATTAAAATACATAAATAAATTAAAACCTAACCTTCAAGAAAAGAGCTTACTCCTTTCTAAAAGGCCGTCAACGCACCTGCAATTCCCCTAGTGCTGCAGTTGTTCATGGGCGGCGGTAGTCACTTACCATCAGGTGAGCCGTATGCTCGTTTACCCCCTCTTCTATAAAAAAAGCTCTCGGCAGTGTAAACCTTACGGCCGAGGGTTAGGGGGTAAGTGAATGAAACTGGTGGACGATGCGGGTGGTATCGAGGAACACCATCTCCTGCATTTGAATCCGAAGCGGTCCGTCACGGAGTCCCAGTCGTCTCAAATGATCAGAGAGACTAATTGAGATTAACCCGTTAGCAGAAATGACTTCAGGAATAATTTCGGTTGGCAGACCACCCAACAACATGTCGGTCACATTTTCCGTGAGCCAGGTCCAGATATTTTTTTGCTTCTATGTTTCGGCTTATTTATTATCATTATGTATGACGAGATTCTTGTCATACAGAATGATAATGTTGACTAAGAATACCCTTGATTGTTCCCGGTCCATTTGCATGTCAGATTTATTCGCAAGAATAGCCCTGTCTGTGCTGAAGGCCCGGGCCTATTAGAGCCAGGCGCAGTCATTTTCGAACACGGCTTCCGGTAAGTATAATAAGGCAGTTTGCGATTCACGAGACCGTTTTTCAGAACGAGTTCCTGGTGTCGAATCATTGCTACTAGGTTGTGTCCGTGCAAGTACTCAGAGTTGGAACCGAAGAACTGCAGATGACATACCTAAATTGCTCATCGGAATGGCGACAAGTTTGACGACAGATGTCGATGGTGCCAACCCTTACGATGTATTTTCGATAGTTGTTGGCATCAATTACCTTCAATTCCTTAATTACTCAAAACCTATTATATCTATAAAATTACAACTTCATAAAGTTTATATATATTCCTATCATCATCAGTCATCATTTGTCCTCTATCTGATTCTGAGTCCTTCTTTTAGATAACGGCCATTCAGCCTTCTCCGAGCCTTGCATCCGATAAAGCTGTAAAATTCATCTGGCTAACAGCACTAACGTCACAGTAAAAATATTTGTACTTTCCAATGGATCTAAAGATTTAAGCAACTGCTATGAAGCTTGGAACCCGTTCAGATCTCAACGATAAAAGACTAAAGAAATACTA